GCATGGTGAGAGATATAGGTCTAGTTTTAATCTTTGGCAAGTTGAAACCCAATTTTTCCAGCACCATTTATTAAAGAGGCTATCTTTCTTCCAGTGGAATGCTTGTTAAAACACAGATTACTGGATTTTATTTCCAAAGTTTCAGATTTAGTAGGTCTAGGGTGGGACCAGAGAAGTTATTTTTTTAAATATCTTCCCACATGACACTGATGCTCTTATCACAAATGAATAAGTGATAAAATATTTTTATTTTGACAAATTGGCTTCCTTCCTTTCAGTTTTAAACGCTGTAACTAATTTTGCAACCGTGGCTTTTTCCTTGATTCTATCAGAACCTCCCCCCCCCAAATTTATTTCAGTTCTGATCAAAGAATTCAGAAATGAGAAAGACCCACTAGTCAGTGAAGGTATCCTCTTCAAAAGGCTTCAGTTTCCACACAATAAGGAAGCCAAAAGAGCACATCATTGTCCATGTGTAATTTTTTCCTTCATTTTTTTCAATATAAGAGGGAATAGACTTGCCAGTGTTAAATTAACTGGAGTTTAGAAACCCTGAATTCATACAATTTTGACCTATGAAGTGTTTTTGAAGGTCTTTTTTCTCAAACCAACCTCCCGAGGGCCGGGGATTTAGCTCAGCGGTTTCACCGCCTGCTGCGCAAGCACAAGGACCCGAGTTCGATCCCTGGTACCAACCCCCCCCCCAAAAACAAACCATCCTCCCTAAACCAGACATGTTAGAATCTCCTGGGAGCTTATTAGAAATGCAGAATTTTGAGGCCGGGGATTTAGCTCAGTGGTTTCGCCGCCTACCGCGCAAGCGCAAGGACCTGAGTTCAATCCCCAGTACCAAAAAAAAAAAAAGAAATGCAGAATCTTACCCATGAATTACTAAACCAAAACTTCAATTTCAGCAAGATCATCAAATAAAGCACAGTTAGCAAAGATGAGATCCTGTTGGAGAAACTTTAATCTCCAATGGAGATGTTCCTCAAGAGGGTCCAGTCCATGGCCAGAGACAATTTTGATTGCTCTCTTTTTGTGGCTCAAAAAATGTACAGGTTTTTCAGGGAAGCTTGTAGATTAGGACTATTTCCTTTATGATACTGGTTCTTCTTGCTATTTTTGAGACTCAGAAATAAGAAGAATGCCACAGCCTCAATTTTCACTTCCTGGAAAGCTCTACATTGTTAACTGTTGCATTTGAGTTGTCTTGGACGTGGAAGTTTGAAAGTCAGTTGTGACTGAACTATTGAATTATTATTACTATTATTATTATTACTACTTTAGCACACTGATATAAACCTGGTAGGGAGAATTCTCCCTTTGTTGTCTTACAGAGTGACTCCCAACTAGCAGCTGTGTCCTATACACTGTCCACACTCTGATATCAGAGTGCAGCTATGTGGATGGTTATTTTGGATCTGGTCACCCTACTCCCTTTTAGTAAATTGCTCCTAACTTTAAAGTCACCATGTTATCTCATTATGGGGAAAATCTGATGCCAGTGGAAGGAAAGGAACCTCAAACATTAATGACTGTTAATTTTTTTCTTTCCAAAAACAGAGATGTTGGGGAGGGAGAAGCACACAATATGAAACTGACACAGTAACTTACAGATACAGAATAAAGCACTGAGAATCCCTGTGTATTGTTGGGAGAGGGAGGCTTGCTGTTGCTATAGCTTCAACCACAAAAGAGGGATGATGGGGACATGGAAGACAGAGCACAGGCTCATCTCCTCTGCACATTTTGGCTATTAGAGCTGTGTGTAAAAAAGGTCAGTGCCCACTTTTTATACTTAATATAAAATTGATTCCAATGTAAAAATTATGAGCTTTTATTCAGTATCTTAAATTAGAAAAGTCTGAAGAGCCATCAATAAAAATGAAACAACTTACTATTAGCTGGTATAACCCATTCCTACTTAATAAGTCATATTCTGTATTCAAATGGAAGCATGTTTATATTACACTTCAGCATCAATTAGCTCATTATTTCTTAATGAAACCACTGGCTGTCTCATTGCCAATTTTGTGTAATACATTGCTCCAGGGTGTTAAAAACCAGTTAGGGCAGCACCAACACAACTTCTCAATCAGCGCACTCAGTGCACCTTAAAAGCTAAGAGGATTATTTTTAGGTAAAATGCTGTAGCTATCTCAAACTACAGGACAAAGGGGATTTCAAATTAAAAATATAGGGCCTTTATTTTAGTTGAACTTGCCAGTTTTCTTGGCTACCATCATTAAAGACCTGGTTTCCACAGGTAACATCAATTTTCTTTCCCATTCAACTGCTTTGCTTGTAGAAATCTACCTCATGTCCAGAAGTTCACCCCAACTTATCTTGGGAGCCCAACTCCCCAGTCCCTGCTACAAACTCACAGAAAAGGGAAGATTAGCTTTTTAAACCCGAAGAACAAATGTGATACAGCACAGGACAGGGCAAGCCCCAGTGCTGGGACATTTGGAACACTCTGAGCAGAGGAGAGCACAGCTCCTTTGTTGGTAACCAGAGCCAAGGTTCATTAGAGCCAAGCTTGGACTAAGAACCTGACAAAAAGTGCTATGTGAGCACAGTTTTCATTGTTTTGTCCAAGGCTCTTAATAGTCCTGCCTGGAAGCAAGAGAGCAAAGTCCACGTCCCACACCTGGCTAAAGCTGGAATACTGTTTTAAATAAAACAATAAGTAATTAGGCACAAATTCCTAATAAACTCTCAATAAACTCTCACTCTTTTCTTTGGGGGTAGAAGGAGAAGGAAAAAACTGGCACTGATGTTTCATCCTTTCCAATTAACAGGGGTAAAAGAAGAAAGTCAACAGTAAATACATACATGACTACCAGAAGCAAAGAAACCATTGCCTTGAAAATGCTACATTAGCTTGGTGTAGCGTTGCACGCCCGTAATCCCAGCTCTTGGAAGGCTGAGGCAGGAGGATCACCTTGAGTTCGAGGCCAACCTGAACTACAGAGTGAGGCTCTGTCTCAAAATCTCACCCTCCCAAAAAAACCTACATTAGAATACTAAAAGCTTAAAAAAACCAAAACAAAAAAGGCCATCACAACCCCTGCCCCCAAAATCAAAACAAAAAACCACCCAAAGTCCAGAATTCTTAGGCTCACAAGAAATTTGGCATGAAAAGACGTGTAAGGAATCTTATCCCCCAATCAGGTGCTACAATCAAAATGCCAGAGGCTTCTTTACAGGAATGGAGGTGAGGAATAAGGGGACAAGCCATTTGACTGACAGAATATCCTTAAGATTTAATAACCATGCTGTCTAGGAAAAGTTGATTCTTCAGATCTAATCAATCTTTTTAAGACAGAAGAATCAGCCAATTACTCAAGGCCTGAATTCTAATTCCCATCTGGGGCTTTATAACCAGTACATGCTTTTACCTAACATGGCTTACAAAGAGAAGACATAAAGGAAGCAAGCTGAATGAGTCATACCCTTCTTAGAACAAAGGGACTAAACACCAAAGACTGCTGATTATCTCTTCAGAGTCTTATCATTTGTAGGAGCTCCTTTCTCACTGTTCAAATTTATAAAACAATCATCCTAAAATGTTCCTAAATGTCTAGGATAACATCTTAACTCTGTACTGTTTTCCATCCTGAAAGTGTTTTAAGAGAACTACTTCACCTGAACCTTCGTAAGAACCCCACATTTAGGGAAAATAGATATGTTCCCTCCATCTCTCCACAGATTACGAAACTCCCACTAGAGACGACATGACTATTACCCAAGATCATCAGGCTTATTTTTTATGATATATGGAACAAACAAGGACCCAGATGTTCTGAGGTCAGCTACAGCCTTCTGCATATTCTGTTGCTCAAAGCATGGGCCACAGACAAGCAGTATCAGCACCACTTAGGGGTGAGTCACCTGCACATTCAAGTCTGAGACGGACTTCTCTATAGGGGATTACAGTGCCTCTCTGTTAATAATTCTACCTCTGGATTTGGACTCAAAAATTTGTCTTACCTATGCAGCCTTCTATATCCACAAAGGTTTTAGATTTCAGTACACGCTTTCGTTTTCTTTTGTTTTCTCCACTTGAGTTCTAAAAGATCAGAGGAAGATCAGAAGATACAATGTTAAGTTGACCAATGAAGCTATAGACAAAAATAGCAAAAGCTTCAGGAATTCTTCACATAAAGGGGACCAATCCTACACACAGAAAAGTTATGCTCACTGTATGTGTGCACTTGGTGTTTTCCTATTTATAAGATGGATATAGCACACAGAGGAAAGTAATGTATTCTTTCTGTAAACAAGTTTTTCCTGGGTAGTGTAGGTACTATGATTAAAAAGATAAATAGGATAAGGATCTTAGTGGAGGGGAAAGACAAGGAAAGCAGACCACAATATACCAGGTAAGGGCTTTAATGGAGGACTAGGACAGGGATGGGAGCCCCCAGTGATGGCCCCTAAACCAGACCAGGGGTTTCTCAGCACATGCCCTTGCCCACAGACACTTGTTATGCTCAGCCTTGGTATTTCAACATTATACCCATCCAGTTTAGTAGGAAATGTGTTATTACTAATACCACTTTCCTTTTATCTGTTGGCTTTTTTGATCATGAGAAGATCAATGCAAGATTTAAGTGAGTCTTAACATAATGATTTAAGGAAAACTAACAGTCACAAAGGAAAAAGAAAACTTGTATGTGTTTTCTTCATACAGTGGCACCTTGGTACTCTTTTTTTTTTTCCTCCCTGGTACCAGGGATCAAAGGTACTCTTTTTTAATTGGTTCCAGGAGGAGCAACAAGTACCAAAAATTGTTTTGACTGGGAAGGGTAGTTAAGTCATGAGACAATCTACACCAACAATTTCTAGCTTGTGTGTCAAGTACCAAAAAAATAATGAGTATCACAAATTTTCTGGTCAAAATGCGTCAAGTACCAAGGTATGACTATACTTTGGTACCTACACTAATAGATGCAGAGAAGACACAACTGAAGAGCATCAAAAGTGCTATTTCCCCATTTATTGCTAGCTTTTCTCATTTAGCCCTTTTCTAGAAGTTTCTGAAGAGTGACAAACATGTGCATACTTGTGTGTACATGTGTGTACCTCCTGTCTTTCACCCTTTACTCTGGTGCAGGCAGGACCTCTTTTTGCACAATTTCAACAAAAGTAGCACAGCAGCTCTGATGCTAAAGGTCATGAAAACCAATTTCTCAGACCCAATTCCATAACCTTCCTGAGACTATACCCTACAGCAAACTCCTTCAGGTGAGAAAAGAAGGAATACAATACCTACTTTGTCAACCTGTAGGGAAGCAGAGTGAGACAAGAGCCATCTACTGGGATTTGTGAAGTCTACAACATGAGTCACCACTCAGCAAAGTAAATGTAGATACTCAGGCAATCACAGACACATGGAAGAGAAGCATCCCAGTAAGGTTTTACCTTGACGGAAGAGGGTTCAGGCTCAGTCTTTGGCACTGGATCAGAAGGTGGAGATATGGGAGGAGGCGGGGATGGTGACTCAGCTTCATAAGTCCCAGGAGAGTCTGGGATGACTGAAATAAGAGAACAAGCTTAGATAAGAAAACTATAAGCTCATTTTGTAAGAATTCATGACAACCAAGCACTTTGCAGTTATACGGTTATCTTTAAAATACACATTAATTTTATGCAACTAAAATCAGAGAACCAAGAATTATTAGAGCTGGAAATACCTTATAGATCATCTAAGCTAAACGTTTTATTATTTTACAGTTATGTCAGAGCATGAAGGAGATGTATAAATATCTACTGATCACCTACCATGTGTCATACTGAGTATTCTATTCTTAGTTGAGTAAACACAGGTCAGAGGTTCCTTCACTTGACAAACTCACACAGCTTGCAACTAAGACAGGTTTTAAACCCAAGTCAGTCTGACTGCACAGCCTTCCTAGTCCAACTATCCATGTTACTTTACTATTAATGACCATCTTCACTCAAGATCAACAAAGGAAATAATCATCTGATTACACTAAATGCTCCATGTGTGTCGGTCTTTGTTGACTGTTACTTGAGGATTACTTGTAATCACCTGAGATATTTGTTAGGTTGAAAATTTCCAGCTGGAGCTGGGTGTGGTGGCACATGTCTATAATCCCAGCACTTAGGAGGCTGAGGCAAGAGAAATGTCATGAAGTGGAGGCCAGCATGGGGTAGACAGTGAGTTCACGGCCAGCCTGAACTACATAGTAAGATCCTATCTCAAAAAACCAAAAGTTCCAGCTGATATTAAGAGCTTAAACTTTGGGGGAAAGATCATCTGTGGACTGATGTTCATAATTAAAGTTTTAACAATTAAGTCCTGCTGACTATTCTGTGTGCGAACTATTTCTAGTGATTGACCTACTGATGAAGCTTGTTTTGCTACACTGAAAGGAGCAACAAAGAAAATTATTTCAGGGAAGAAATAATGGGATGGAAATGAGAAGACAGCACCACCAGAGGAATCCCATCATTTCTCAATAGTTCCAGAAACAGAGGTCCTAGTATTAAACTCATGAGACAGAAGCTGAAAGTCCTCAGTTGACTTATGGCTGGTCAGGGGACTCTAGTTAGCTGCTTAGCTTCACCTGCTCCCTGGATCTCCTAGCTATATCCAAATTCTTAGCACAAGTTTTGGATCTGAAATTCTCCCTGATTAGGTCAGTGTTAACAATTCTGACGGTTGAAGGTTCAAGACCAAATGAACTAAAGAGGTGTAGCAGAACAAGAGCCAGAATGAAACAATCAATTTTACACTTCAAGAATGAAACGGGCCCCCACACTTTATAAGCTCTGGGAGGAACGAGGTCTAGCTATTAACCCAGCTCTGGGAGGCTAGCACATGATGGGAGCTCAGGCAAGAGAAGTGATACATGCCAGAACTGAGAGCTCATTGTTCTGGAAGAATAGCTGTTCAAAAAGCTGGGGCACAATGGCACATGTTTTACAGTGGCTGGAGGAAAGTTCAGGCAGTGAAGAAGCCAAAGAAGTTTTGAGTACTCACAGTAATAAATTTAGGTGTTCTTATTCCATTTCCACTTTTGCAGCCACTTGACTTACCCAAGGAAAACACTTAATCCCAGTGGCACTCACTCATACCCCTCTCAGAGCATATACAGCTATTTGTTTACCCACATCCCCACTTCAGATTCTCACTCTAAAGAGGCAGGAATGCCACAATTCCCCTGGTGCTGAACACAGAGCAAGAACTTTTTTTTTTTTTTTAAAGAAAGAAACATAATCACTTTTAAGCTAAACTTGGGATGAGGAGCATCCACATCAAGGAATACTCAGTGTATTCCTTTTCCTTCTGTCTCCCAGGAGAAACAACAAAGAAAGAAAATAACAGAACCCCGCCGCAATAATAGGAAAGAGAATAAAGAAGCTGAGATGAAGAAGAAATTTAGAAAAAAATCCCTGGAAGACAGAAGGCAGATAGAAGAAAGTTGGCAAGAGAAAGATCAGGTAATTGAGTCAGATGGTAGAGATTACTATCTATTATAAATCTGTTTTTATATGAGTTTTGGAGACTAAAAAAAAAATGTGGTTCTAGGAAGTGAACCCAGGATTTCATGCATGCAAGCAAGGTAGGCTCTTAACCACTGAGATATATCCCCAGCCTTATCTGACTTTTAAAACTCTGTAGATCTATTGCTTTGCTCAAACTTAAAAAAAAAAAAATTTAAAGGCAGAACAAACAACTAAAATTTTTTAGACTTTACAAACATTATTCATTCTTATAGTAACCTCTCAAATCACTATAACTTGTTTTATACAACTGAGGTTCAAAGAAATTTAAAAAGAACAAAATTTGCCCATATTCATATGGAACGAAATAGATGAGAATAGAAGTCTGTCTTACCATTTATCAAGTCCTGACTCAACATAGTTTTAGCTGTGAAAGCATAAGAGTATTTGAAGAATGTGTGTACTTTAAATAGATTTGTTGCAAATCTGTAGATCTTCTGATAAGTTACTCGAGTACTGAAACATCACTTATTCCAGGAAAGCAACTTTTGTAGAAGCAGAATAAGAACTGTGGGTAAAGCTAATTTCAGGGATTGTTGTTGAATCTATTGGCAGAGACGCGTAATTAGAATTCCTGGAAAGCATTCCCACCATCCTAGGACTCAATATTTTAAAAATATTTATCTTTACCTTAAAAGAGGGGGATCATTTACTTAACATTCTTCATAAGCAACTTGCAGGAATGAAAATACTCAAACATATCTGTTACAACTCTATTTCTGCCTACCAATGTAGATTTTCTTAGTGCTATTTCTTTCACAATCTGGCTTTGTTTGTTTGCTTTACAAAGAGAATCTGTAGAACTACTAAGGGTGACTATGACTGGCATAGGAGAGGAAAAAAGAAAATTGGCCTTTGGGCAGAGTTCCAAATATACAGGTCAGGGGACTTTTCTGAAAGAAGGCTCCCACATGTATATTTACCACTGCTAAACACTGAACATATCAACAGCAAGGGGGTAGGGCTAAGAAAAAAAACCACCACTATATGTCAAGTAAACACTATTGCAGCATTCTTACACATCATCTTAACTTGATGCTCATAAATAAGATTACACAGTTTCTGATAATATCTCCATTTTAGAAATGAGGAAACAAGGAATTAAAGAAGTTAGAAATGAGGAAACAAGGAATTAAAGAAATTAAGTAATCTAAAGTCACACAGTAAGTGGTGTAGGGAAGATTTAGACTCAGGTCTGTCTGACCTCAAAATCTTTGCCATTTCCTCTATTGCTGTACTTCTGCTACCTACTAGATTAGGACGGCAGACTCAGCAAATATCACATAATCAATGTAACAGAAATAAAACAGTTGTAAGTTAGAGAGTGTGTAAAGGTTTAAAATAAAATCCCACTGCTCTGAGACAAAGAAATTTAAGAATAAAATGGCGGAGGCTGATAAATTTAGTGAGATGCCAAAAATTATCTTTGCCAGAGGGAAAAAATCTGAGAGCCACTGCTCTCTGTCATCTGTTATTATAGGTTGCTCCTCTCTATCATATTTCTCTGCACTCCTTTCCAAACTAAGTAAGCCCACTTGTATTTCTAATCACTCACAGGTATTACTATTTTTATGAGCCATGGACCAAAACTATAAGGAATATTTCAGAAATATGTAATGGTGCCTAGCCAACCACAGTAATTCCTCAACTCACTAATACTAGAGTATCTAGTTTATCTTTTCTGCAGCACTGAGAATTGAACCCAGAGGCACTCTACCACTAAGCTACATCCTGCCTCCTGTACGTTTTTTTGAGACAGGATCTTGCTAAATTGTCCAGGCTGGCATCAAACTTGTAATCCTCCAGCTTCAACCTCTCAAGCAACTAGGATTACAGCCATGCCCTGCCAAAACAGCTGGGTACTTTACCTTTTTAATGTACATTAGGTTGATAGTTTCAAAGTTTTTTCCAGAATCTTCCCCAACTTCTTTTCCTGATTTCAAGTAGGTACGACTACTCTAATTAGCACATATTCTAAGTTACTCCTTATCCCATGTGCCAGCATTTAAATTCTTAACTGTTCAAAATGTTCCCTGATAGCCTTTTATTTCATTCATATACTTGGAAATCTTCCTTTTAGAAAGTGTGGTCAAAACATTTTGATCAATGACATGGAAAGAAAATACAGCAACTGCATTCATATTTTTTTTGGTATCGGGGATCGAACTTGGGTCCTTGCACTTGCATAGCAGGCGGCGAAACCACTGAGCTAAATCCTCACCCCCTGCATTCATATTTGAATGTTCAGAATGCCCTAACTCATTCCAAAGATCCACTAAGAAACCATACCTCTAAAGGGCACTACTCCTCTCACTGGATATCAGAAGCTGTGCTCCCAACACTACCCGTGAATGATAGGATCTAAACCCACAGAAAGTCAAAATGGCATTTCTATCAGAGAAATTCAACTACCTGGTACTATTAGGTCTATTCATTTCTTTTGTATTACAATCTCCATATATAATTTGTTTTTTTCACTCAACTTGTAAACTGAGTAACTCTTTTTTTGGGAGACTCTGTTACCATTTTCAGTTCTTCCAACAATACTTTCTGATACAAGAAGAATCTTAACACTTCTAGTTTTATCCTTGGATAGAAGGTTCCTTTTTTTCCACTCACTGTTTTTCTTTAATCTCTTTTAGTATTAGGTTATTTGCATTTGTCTATGCACCTAACCATGATGCTAAATTCCTTTGGATTAGATTTCCCCTTATTGCCTAAAATGGTTTATGCACATTATGCCACAAATTTTTGAAGAGCAGCTTTTTATCCCTGGCTCTGAGTCATAACACCTCAGCCCAGGTCTTTCTCTTCAGCCTCCTCCTCTTTCTGTGTATTTTTCCTTTACACGATTTAACATGAGATCTTGGCTCTGAAGAATACTTGATATTCTTTTAAAAAGCACATTAAGTTTCCTGCCCTGACTCTTGCCCTTATTCTGTTTATTTATCTTACAATGTTGCCCATAGCCTAAAACTAAAAGGGTCCATAGTCTCATTCCCTATCAACAATGTGTATGGAACACTTTCAATACCTTAATACCTAGAATATCAATTTTTAAAAGAGTCACATAAAGTTAGCCAAAGTAATAACCCTTCTCCTTTTTTTTTTTAAAGATAATGTCTTAGTATGGGTGGTAAAAGAGCAGTTCTGGTCAACAGGGTAAAGTAGATATCAAACAGAAATACAGGCTGTATTTCTTCAATACTAGGATTAATACTCGCATTATGACCCATAATAAATTATTTTTTAGGTTCTTGAGCATAATTAAAATTGATCCCCCTAGTAAATTAATAATAATGCCCACCTTCATCTTCACTGCTATCAGACTGAGGAAGTTTGATTCTTCTCCTCTTTTTCTTCACATTTCCAGTTTCCTTTGTTTCATCATCAGATAACTCTATTCGCTTCCCCCTATTGCTATTCAGGAATAAATAAAGCATGTTACATTGAACAAAAATGTAAGCACTCATATGTGCCTATGAATCTTTTTTTTCATGGTCCTAATTCCAGTCAAAGTGGACCAATGACCTTTTTCGGGGACAGTGCTGGGGTTGGAACTCAGGGCCTAGTGCATGCTAAGAAAGTGTTCTACCATTGAGCTAATTTTGCAGTACAAGGATTCTTTTGAAGGATACGCTGTTAACTAAGCACAACTAGGTCACTTCATAGGTGACCAGAATATAAGATTTCTCTAACTCTCTATAGATCACTGAAAGCTACAATCAGATTATCAAGAATCTTTCTGAATGCCTTCCTGCTTCCATTACTGGCCTGACAAATTCAACAAGCATTAAATAAGTAGCTACTACTCATTGCTATGAGACTGAGGAAGTTTGATTCTTCTCTTTTTCTTCAATATCTATAGATACTCAAAGAACAAGGCTGTACTCAAGGAACAATTTTATGACATTAAATCCAACACCTTAGATAAAACAAATTTCTTTAAAAACGCAACTTATTAAAGACTGATCCAAGAAGAATCAGAATTGAATAACTCTATTCAAAGAAATCAAATTCACAATAAAAGAACCCTACTATAAAGAATATTCAAGCCCGAATTCAATGATAAATTTTCATCAAACATTTAAGAAAGAAATAGCTATATAAACTCCTTCAGAAACAGAAGACACTCCTCTCAACTAATTTTATGAAGTTAGCACAATTTTGACAGTAAAATTGACAAAGACATTACCTGAAAAGAAAATAATTGAGCTATACACCTCCTAAACATAGAGGCAAGGACTGGAGATGTAGCTCAGTGCTAGAGGGCTTGCCTAACACTCTAAGGCTCTGGGCTCGATCCTCACCATCACAAAAAATCCAAACAAAACCACAGAGGCCAAAAAATTCCTAGTATGACATTAACAAATCTAATCCAGTAATATATAAAAGGGATAATACATCATAACCAAATGAGATTCACCCCAAGAAAGCAAGGTGGTTTAGCATTTAAAACTCAATTGGTATAGTTCACATTAGCTGAAAAACAATCACAGTAACTCGGTAAATGTAGAAAAAGAAATCATTAAAATTTCAACACCCATTCATGATAAAACCTCTCAGCCAACTTGGAACAGAAAAGAACTTTCTCAATCTGGTAAAGGGCTTCTACTAAAACCTCCATTTAATATCATACTTACTAGTGAAATACTAAATGCATTCTTGGCAATAAGCACCAACACTAAATGTTAGGGACATTTTAATCCACCTATATCATATGTTCCTGGGAAGAAGGGCCCACTGGACAGAACCTTAACCCTCTGAAACATCACCATTTTGTTGATGCTTTTTACTCAAGTTGCTCTAACCTTGCCACAAAAGTCAGGTCTTTGTGGGCCTATCAGTGCTGACAGTGTCCTTTAGAATTTCTTTCAACAGACTTATTCCTACCAACTATGAGGTAGTGTCTCAAATTCCTGGATCCATTTTTAACAGCTTGTGTGCTTTTTATTTTCTTTTCTAATTACATTTTACCACTTGAAAAATAAACTCATTGATATAAAAAGAAAACAAAGAACTTTTTCTCTTAAATTTGACTGGCAACAGTAACTTCTCATTTGGTAATTTGAAGTGAAACACACATACAGGCATATTTATGCCATGTTAACAAATTTAAAATGAAGAAATGAAGGGAAAAAAGACAATTAGTATAGATCAATGGAGACAAAAATATGATTTAAGAGTGCTAAATTGCCGCCGCTTGCCTCACAAATGCAAGGTCCCAAGTTCGATCCCCAGTACAAAAAAAAAAAAAACAAACCAGAATCCTAAATCACCCAAACTGGCTGATTTCACAGTCCTACTTCACCAGATAAGCTACTGAGTTCTCTTCTCATTTGGCAGTAGAGTTGTATCCCTGAGGTACTAAGCAGAATTTAGGGCTCAACTGAAAACAACCTGCTGTCAATAAGCCCACAGACCTTCTCACCCCCAGCAGACATTTCCCTTACAAGTGACAGAATTTTCCTACCATTTTTTTTCCTTCTGCTGCATCTTAACAGGCTCTGCTTTTTTGCTGGATTTCTTCAGGTCTGCAGGAGTTGCCAGCTTTGGTTCAGTGACAGACACTGGAGGTTGCTCCACTATTTTTTCTTCTTTCACTGGTTGTTCTGAGTCCAAATTGACTTTAAGTTTATCTACAAATAAAGGATAGTAGATGATATATAACCTCATCACGCAATATTAATCCATCATTCTTTTGGCAGTCCACTATGTGCCAGGGAACGTTAGCAGCAAGGACTAAAAGGATAAAAAACAGTCCCTGTCCTAACAGAGCTCAGTCTATTCAGAAAACATTTCTCCTTTCTAACTACTACTGTAGCTATAACTCTTCTCATTTCTGCCTCCTGCTAATCTTTCATCATATCACAGCCCCCAGGCCAAAGAATAGTAAAAGCTAGGCTTAGAAAAAACTAATACTGAACAACTTTGTGATGTATCATCTTTCTCTATTTTCAGATGAGGAAAACTAACAGTGACAAGGATTAGAAGATGCTTTCCAAGAGAATATAGCTTATAAATGGTGACCACAGAATTGGTAGCAAGACTTTGCTTTCTATTATATTCTACCTTTTAATGCCTGGATCCTCTTATTATCTCACTATTACCTTAATGATAAAACTGAAAAACTATTTTGGTTCACCCTTGTTTTCCTTTGGGCAGGTTATTTTACCTGAAAATCACTTTTCTCTGTAAAAACTGTGAGGATTATTGTAAGAATTAGGGGAGATCAGATGTGAGGTTAGGCGATTTACTCAGGGTAACACTGACAGAAAAAGTCAGAGCCAAGATATGCACTTATGTCAGTTTAATGCCACAAAGTCTTGACCTCCTTCCCTACATGAAGCTAAGAAACAAAAGCACACCCACTGCTTGGTGCAGAGGACTAATACATGCTCAGCTCACAAGAAGGGCCTAGCCATCTGAGAAATTATAGAGACATATAATCTAGCCTGCACACTGGACTTAGTGATAGCTTTCTGCAGGCAAAGTCACAATTTACAATTAGAAAGCTGTCAACAGTAGGCAATTTCTCAGTAAGTTTGGTTACGGGTTCGAGCACAGCTTAACCCATCTACAGTGTAGAAAAAAACCACACATATCTTAAATTTTGGCTGTTAACACAGGACAGTATAATAATTTATAAATCATGTATATTATTTGAAAGGTATAAATGATGGATTAAATGCAATCTATTTATACTTCTGAAGGCTTCAATGGGAAACCTAAACAATGAATCCACCAGCCCAACAGTATACTTTATTTTCTTGCATTTTCAATACTATTACTCTCAAGTATCAGTGCTTCCCAGATTTTCCCACCAAAATATCCCAAACTGAATGGGAGATAAACATATTACAAATGACAGAATTTCATTCCTTTTTATGGCTGGATAACATTTCATTGTTTGGATATACCACATTTGTTTCTCCATTCATCAGATGATAGACCTTTGCATTGTTTCCACTTTTTGGCTATTAGGAAAATTGCTGTATGGCCATTTTGTAGAAGTTTTCTGTGCAGATACACAGCGTTAATTTGCTTGGATACTTACAAGTGGAATTAATAGATAACTCTAAGTTTAAAATTTTAACATATTTCAAAGTGAACATCATTGTAAATGATGTAAAACATTTTACATTCCCCACAGCAATATATGAGGGTTCAATTTCTCTATATCCTTGCCAATACTTGTTACTGCCCAGCAATAAATTTAAAATGTTCAAGTCCCCACAATAAACTCTCATCCAACTCTCAAGCTTTATTTTCATTGCAATGATCTTGTCATGTGTCAAATACGATAAAAAAATTGTACTTTTACTCTGAACATTCAGCCTTAAAAAATATGTTAAATAAACAACTTTGTTAATGATTCTTATTAGATGAATAATTCTTTTATTTTGTCTGGGTTTTCCCTCTCCCTGTATTACATGTTATAATAATACCTGCCTAGCAATTATAATCATTAACTATTTTATTTTTTCCATATATTTATCTTCAGGAAGTACATAATTAATATTTGCTAAATGAACACATAAATAAGCATACACACACATATATATGCTTTGGTATTTCTTACAATTAGCAAATTTTCATATATCTTATTTTTAAAACAATTTTAAAACTGGTTCTTAAGATTACAAACAAACAAACATGTGGACCTTATCAAAACTGCCAAGAAACCACTATCGGATTGGGTCCAGTGGTCCAGTACCAGGCCCACCCACAGTCCAGGGACATCAGCTCTACATGTTTTCACAGAAGTAGAAGTCCTGCTGTGCACTCTGTCCACAAAAATACAACTGTGCTTCTTAATAGCCTAAAATTATCACATTTTCTATGTACTATACTTTCAGAACACAAAAATGGTCTCCCCTGATAACTTTCATGGCAAATAAAACACTATTACCCCAATCCCTCTTTGATTGCCAATTTGATTACCACAGAAGGCAGAATTCACACTAATTTTGCTTGCACAGGCATTAAGAAAAAACATTTCCCTGAAAAATCTTTGTAAAATTGATGCTCAAGAGAGTGTACCATAATTATCCTCTGGCTCCTGCATTTTTCCTGGTATTCTGCCACATGCCCTCAGGGGATATATACTTGACATGAGAAGCATAAAAATATGTGACTAACGGTTCTTTCCATAAGAAAGAATTCTTATTTATATATTCTTTAAATAAAGGAGATTATTATCTTCTCAAAAACTAAATGTTTAAATGGTCATCACTACTTGTGCCGTTCAAATTCACACTGAAGTTTTTAATTCATTACTGCTAGTAATCTGCAAAAAATAACTATAGAAATACCAAAGATTTGTTTTTGTGATCCCTTGGAAAATGGGTGTAACTAAGGTAAACTGATGCCAGCACTCACCATATTAACCTTAACACAATACTGCTGAATGAGGAGCCTTTTACTTTAATCACTCATTTTCAGTAGTCCTATGAAGCAAATATTTCACTCTTTTCAAGGCATGAAATAAAAGTAGAAATAGTAAACTACCCTCCAAGAGATCTCAACTGAGCCCAGTTTACCCAGTAGGTCCACTGTGCTAGTTGGTTACTTTCATCAGTGTATTGGTCAGTATTTAAAAATTTATGTTAGGAAGCAGGAATGCCTGGATAGGCAAAAACGAGACATAGTGGCCTTCACCTCAGTATGATATATGTTACCATGTTAACATTCATTTATTAATCAAAGGAAAGTAAGAACATGCTTACTCATAGCAGCTTTTCCAAAAAAATTGCTCATCATATTCCCTTTTCCAGGAGCTTTGCTGCCAGCCGAAGATGCCTTAAAACAGAGAAAGATACTCTACTAAAATGGAAAATTCAGAAAAAATGGATTCCTATATACATGTGAATTATCAAAGCAGAATCAAGAAGTTATAAAATCCTGAATAATTCAATATCAGTCAGTGAAACTGAAGTAATAAAAAAATTACCAACTAAAACACAGAAAGAAAAAACACATAAACACATGATTTTTTTCCTAGAGCTTGGGTTATCCTTAAAGTAGCACTGTCTAGCTGGGGATTTAGCTCAGTGGTTCCACCACCTGTCTCATAGGCGCAAGGTCCGGAGTTCAATCCTTGGTATATTAAAAAAAAAAAAAAAAGGGGCCGGGGATTTAGCTCAGTGGTTACGCTGGCTGCGTTAACAAACAAAAAAAAAAGTAGCACTGTCTCAAATAATCTCTCCAATGACAGAGCATGGTTTCCTCATGGTACAATCTTTACATAATCAAGCAAAAATGTGCAGGCATTAGATTTAAGAACTAATCTAAGACAATAATCCAGACCACACAGTATCTGATCCTAATTTACAAAGCTTTGTCATCATTCTTATAAAATTATTCATGATATATTATCCATGATCTAAGGTTTTCTTAAGGACATTCTAAAACAATTTACACTAAGATTAAAATAGATCAGAGGTGCCAGGGATGTAGCTCAGTGGTGCCACGCCTACCTGGCAAATGCAAGGTCCTGAGTTCAATCCCTGGTACCAGACAAAAAAAAACCAGATCAGAGGTGGTATGGTATATAATACAGGGGAATGGGCAAGATATTACATTTTTAATTATCAGAAGTGGATCTGAATTCTGGTTCTACCATTTAATAGTGGTAATAGTAATTTAACAGTATATTACCTAGCAAGTTTAGGCTTCAGTTTTACCACATACAAAATAAAAATGCTAAGGCCCAAACAGAATTGATATGAAGATTTAAACAAAGATCAAATGACTGCCACACAATAGGAATTCAATAAATGTCTTTCTCTCTACCACTCTTCTTGCTTCCCAAGGCAGAACCTTGAAAATGACAACAATGATAATAACAGTATATTTTTCTGGATTTTAATGGTATTGTGATATTTAAGTCAATGTCCTTAATTTAGTTTAGACAACTGAACAACAACAAAGAGAAGTGAATGAAAAAAGCAGCCAAAGGAACAGAACAAGAGGATTAATACACTAAAAAGGTATACAGGGTGTGGCAGAAAAATATGGTGAATGGTGAAAATTTTTTACATTTTATTACAGTAAAAGATTAATTGCTATCATTTTCCCTCAAAATACTCTCCTTCTCTTCAAATACACTTATCCCATCATTCCTGCCACTATCTGAAGCAGTTCTGGAAGTCCTTTTTCATGAGTGTCCTTCACCTGCGCTGTCCTGCCTCCTTCAATGTCCTGAATCAATTCAAAATGGTAACTTTTCATGGCCATTTTGACTTTGGGAAGGAGCCAAAAGTCGCATGGTGCCAGATCTGGTAAGGTGGATGAGGATGCACCATAATGTTTTCAAGACCCTGCCTTTCTGTTGGATGACACTCCGCAGCAGCACTCATTGTATTTTTTATCACAGCTCATAAAGACACAAAAGAGGACTTCCAGAACTGGTTCAGAAAGCAGCAAAAACAATGGGATAAGTGTATTTGAAGCAAGGGATGGCGGGGGTGGGGGTGGGGGTAGGGTATTTGTGAGATTAATGACAATGTGTCTTTCACTGTAATAAAATCTTAAAAACAATCATTAGCCATATATTTCAATCACTCTATATATGGCATGTGTACAGAATATAAGATGTTCTCAAAATAACACAGTGCTAATATAAATTTTCTTGATTTTTACAATTTTTGAGGTGTTTTCACACACACATTATTTCATCTGGGTCTCACAACAACCTTACGATGTATACAGGGCAGGTTATTATCATTTTATAGAAAAAGAATCCAGGGCTTGGTGAGAAGTAATTATCAAAGCATAAAGGACTATTTCAGATAAGAATATTATGCATTAAAGCCAGGCATGGTGGGGCATGCCAGTAATCCCCAGCACTTCAGGGGCTGAGGCAGGAGGATCAACACGAGTTCCAGGCCAGCCTGGGCTAGTGAGTTCAAGGTCAGCCTACACTACAAACGAGACTAACTCAAAAAAAAAAAAAAGAGAGAGAGAATCAAGCACTAAAGGGTTCAAATCACTACTGAATATCAGAATCTTACATAGTTAAACTACTACAAAAACTATAAATGCTTTCCTAGGTACCTATTCTGTGCTGTAATAAATGCTTACTTTAAGGAACTTACATTTGTTACTTCTTTAGCCTCTGTTTTGGTTTCCTTGTTGGTATCTTGGGTTTTAGTAGCAGCTTTAGAGGCAAACATTCCCATAATTCCTTTGGGCTGCTGGGAAACCTGTTTGGAGGGAGGTGGGCCATGACCATTGGTGGTCAGCTCATTATTGGCTGGTGTCTCATTTGATGCCTGAAGATTTGACTGTTCAAATTTTCTGGAAGATGAGGATTCTGCAGGAACTCTAGGAACTGCAGCTGCACACTGTATGGCACTAAACCTAAGGACAAATGCTGTAGTAAATTGATTTCAGTAGCAAATTTTATTTTCAAACCCTTGCTTCTTTCACATAATACATTCTAATCCTAATATTAAAGTACTAAGGAGAATTTTAAACTAGAATGGATTTTAAAAACTTTTGTACAGGGCCAGGAATTCATCTCAGTGGTTCCACCGCCTGCCTAGCAAGCGCAAGGTCCCGAGTTCTATCCCTGGTACCAAAAAAACAACAAAAAAACCCTTTTGTATAAAACTCTCATTTAAAGAAACAAGTATTAAGAGAGAAGTGACTTGTCTGACATTATACATACAGTTTAGTAACAGAGCTAGGACTGGAATCAGAAGTCTTGTACCATACTATACTGAATACCCTTGCTTTTGGGGGAAGCAAAGCAAAGCAAATTCAAGAGTAAGAACACACCAAACAATAATTAAAGATTTAGTAATTTTACCATTCCTGCAGAACCAAATGGTTATCCCTTGTTTAAAACCTTCCTTATAGGGCTAGGTATATAATAAATATTGATTGAATCAAAACTAAAAGTTTTAGGGCTGGGGATTTCGCTCAGTGGTACCATGCGTGCCTCACAAGCACAAGGTCCTGAGTTTGATCCCCAGTACTAGGAAAAAAAAAAACAACAAACAACTAAAACTTTTAAATATTAACTGGCAAGCTCCGAGCCCCGCTGTGCGGCCAGACATTGGGCTTCGCAGGGCCCGCCTCTCGCGGGGCTCAGTACCCTGGGCTGTGAGGCCAGGCCAGGACAGTTGTTTTCCTGCAGCTTCCAACATGGCAGGCAGGTTCTATAGACATGGATGACAAGTCTACACAATAAAGTCCTGAAGATACTAGGCCTACCAGTTATAAAGGTTAAAAACAAACAAAAGAAAGAAAAAAAGTAAAACCCAAAACACCACTGATCCCGACATCGATCAGGGACATCTTCTTCAGATGATCATGTATTTCCATCATCATCTTCTTCAGGAAGTGAGACAGATTCAAGTACTGAAGATGCCACCAAAGGAAAAAACAAGAAAAAGAAAGGAGAGAAAAAGAATAAATGGAGAAAAGAAAGAAAGATACTCAGAAAACTACACAGCTAAAAAAAAAAAATCACACAAAAATTGCAATTCTTTCAAATCTTTTTTCTTTTTTTTTTTTTTTGCTACCAGGGATCCAACTGAGGACCATGTGCTTGCGAGTCAGGCAGCAGCACCGAGCTAAATCCCCAGCCCTCTTTCAAATATTTTTAATTTTTGATGTTAACATAGTTTACAAAATGCATATTTACTTTGAAAAAAGTTTAAATAATTGTAATAAAGTAAATAACAGATGAAAAATAAATAAATAAATATTAACTGGCTCCCCAGCAACTCTCCTGGCCACAGTGGGTCATGCTTTAAAACATGAAAGAAGTTGGGAATGGAGCCACTGGCTCCTATAACTTGTGGTCCTTTATTAATTTCTAATAATATCATCTAATAGTACCAGCAAGTCATTACACTGAAGGCCAAGTGAAGAATTTGGTGAACAGTCTGCCTGTACACTGATTAGAGAGAACACTCATATTTTCTACATTGTAGATATGGCTGTTTCATACAAATATGTAACACAATGCTCCACGCATTGTGAATGGACAAGTGATTTCACACTTCTCAAAGAGTTTTACTTAAACCAAAGTTCCTCAACTTTTCCTTAACACAGCAAAACATTTTAAGCGACCCCCCCCCAATCTTTTGCTTATTGGAGGTAGGTGAGAAGTCTTTGAAGGTCTTACTCATCTTTTTTATTTCAGATACTCAGCACAAGATCTGGCGTACAACAAGTTTGTCAGGAGAAACATGCTAAAAGAATGACCAGTTAAGTGACTGAAAATGAAGCTTCTCTCCTTTCTTTGGTGCTTTACTGCAACTTGGAGTGGGAGATGGGGGAGATTTAGAAAATGTGCGGTGACAGCAATTATCAGAGATTCTATGCACAACTTCAAGATTAATTGAAAGAATAACTGGCCTATGAAAAAAATCCCTAATGAATCATTTCAATTCAGAAATAACTTTATATTGAGCATCCCCAAATCTAGAGTCTATAGCTCCAACAGGTGTCCACTGATTCATTTTGGTCCACACAGAAAATCCTACATTAACGCACATCCTTGCTGCACTGGAGCTAAGAACAGACAGAAAGCATTTACTTTCATCCATTATTCTTCCTCTGTAATCCTGCAGTGCTTCCATGCATATGAAAAGGGTAATGTCTTATTTTCATTGTCAGCATCTAAAATTGGCCCTGACACAACTCTTTCTCCTTTTGGTCTGCATTCCACACTTTCAGGCCAGGACCAGGAATTGGCAATGAGGAAGAGACTAAGTCAGGCTGGGAGCTGTCTGAAGACAAAAGAATCTCTGCTCAGTCCTAAAATGTCAACTTTCTTCCTGTTACAGCACTTCTTAAAACACACAAAATCATGAGTCAGATCTCAGTTGGCCCATAACTGTCAGAACCAACTACAAACTTCATTATTGGAGATAAATTCTTCACATTTCTACCAACAATACTTTTAAGTATTTAGGTGAAGTTCCATTAAAGTGCTTCCTATTATCACATTTCTACTTGTTCTATTTATTTTAGTGGACCCTGGACAAATTTCATTTTGAACTTTTAAGTCACTTTTTTTCTTATTTGCTTACTTGCAAATAGATAAAACAGAACTGGTTTTCAGAGCTTGAACTGCCAAGACAAAATTTCAATACAGATTTTTTTGAAATCTAGTAACATACTCTATATAAACTTATTAGGGTATTAATGTTTTCTTGAAATTCTTCCCTAAATGACACCAAATTTATATACTATTACTCTTCAGTTATACAATAATATAAACTTATTTACTAAATAAATAACTATTGTATGCCTATTATACTCACAGTTTTGAACTAAAGGAAAAAATGTCTATCATTAATTCACCACCCCCAGTATCTTCAACCATTTCCTCTCTATGATTCTTTCCTAACAACACAACTTCAAGTCACTCTGAACTTTCAAACTGTACACATGCTTCCTTGGTCTTAACTTCTCCTAGCTACTGCCTTCTTTTTCCCATATTTTACAGTCAATTTTTCTGGAAAGAGATGTCCGTATTGATTGTCTTACTTTTTCATGTCCCCATTTACTCAGTTGATCAGAACCTGGTCCCTGCACTGAACACTCTTACAAAGGCCATCACGAGATCCAACAGACCACTCTTACTTGAGATAGATCCAAATTCCTATCTTACTTGGATTCTCAGCAACATATGATACTATCCACCAGTCCATCCTTCTTGAAACTCTTTCCTTAGCTCCTATGAATCTTATACATGATTTTCTTATCTCTGGCTCTTGGGACCCTCTTTTGCCGTCCATCCCTTAAAAAAACAGCTATCATTAAATACTACTACATGCCAAATGCTATTGTTAAGAGTTTAACATATTTTAAAACATTTAATCCCCTTATAGCCCTGTGAGGGTGGCACTATTATCAGCTTCACTGATAAAGAAGCTGAACAACAGAGAGGTTAAACAGTTTGTCCACATAGCTAGTAACTATGGCCTACAGTTTTACTTTCTACCCTTCTTTCATTCTATACATTCTCTGCATGACTATCTATTGCTATTGCCCAGTTGTTTGCCTATTTTTCCTGATTCAAAAATCTTTACCTTTATTCTGATTTCTGGTCCTTCTCTTATATTCCCTTTCTTAGTGCTCAGCAGCCCAAGCCAGGAACATGGCATTATCCTTAACACTATGAACAGCAGCTGCACACATACTTGTTCCCAACCAATTATTTTGATTTTATGAGCCAGGGTCTTACTATGCAATTCGGACCAGCTTTCAACTTGCTAAGTAGCTCTGGCTGGCTTCAAACTCGAAACCCTCCTGGATCAGCCTCCCAAGTGCTGAGATTACAAGTGTGCGCCACCAACCTTAGTACAAATTGAAATTTTTCTTTAACCTTCATAACTCTCCACCCAACACCACTATGTTATTTAAGATCACTGTCATCTGTACCCTGGATCACTGCGATGTTTCTCCTATCTCATGACCTCATCTCCAGATTATTCTTTTCTGATCTATAGTCAACATCTAGTAGAGCCATCTGACTAAAGTGCAGTTCTGGTCAATTCACTTTCCACTTAAAAATTTTCAGGGGCTCCAAAGTGTTCTCTAAATAAAGTCTAAAATCCTTTTCCTAGTAACTGAAGCATTACCAGACTCCAATTAGTAGTCTCCTGTCTTCTGATTTCCTACCTCTCGGTCTAAGTTCCAACCAGACACTGTGGTTCCACACAAGCACTGTGTTTTCTCTTAGCTCTGTCTTTTCTCTCCCACTTCTGTGCCTGGTTATTTCTACTTGGCCTTCAGGCCTCAACTTAGACACCCTAACCTTTAGGAAGCCTCCTCTGACTTGCCCCCTATCTATACCCTTCTAGAAGTGACAGAAAATGCCACCCTCACATCTGCCTATACTATTCCTCCTATGACAACACTGACATACTGTACTGTAACTGCTTGTCTCCCATTAAACCATCAATCCCAGAAGCAGGCACTGGACCATATTCACTCTACAGTGTAGCACATATCAGAGAGATTCATCAGATATCTACTGAATGATTTCAAATGATCTCATTTAGTATGTGTCAGAGTAGTAGGTACTCGCAATATACTTGAAGAACTGGCTTAAACCCTCACTATCACCCACAAAGCAGGTATTACTATATCTTATTTAAAGATGAAGAAACTAAAGTTTAAGTTGTCCAAAGCCAAAATGCTATTAAGCAGCAAATCACAAATCCAGCCTACGAGCATCAGTTTCTAAAATGCACATACATTAATAGCCCATCACTCCCAATGTTGTGAAGGACATAAAAGATTTGCAACATTTGATTTTGGCTATGGAACCTCAAGAAAAAGTTGCCTGTAGATGGAAGGTAGAGGGATATCAAATTAGGAACAGTTCTTTGAAGGACAACATCTGAACTAGCTCTTGAAGGATGGATAGAATTTAGACAGGCAAAGACTGGGGCAAAGGAGTAACGAAGGGCACAACAAATATTTCTGGTGGTGGTGACAAAATAAATATATGAGAAATAGATTTATGGGGAGTCCACTGGGATTTTCAATATGGGTTGTGGCTGCTATTTTTCACCTTACGATGTACTAATAAAGCGAGGCATGTGTCTTACTGCAAGATAAATGGGGTTTTACTAGACTTGGCACTCACTCTTAAGAGGCAGCCTCTGTGTAAACATCTTACAAAATCAATTCGTAAAGAAGCCCACAAGGAACATTAAGGAGCTTACTTGCTGCAGTTCTGCAAGTTGCTTTTAAGGATGTCATAGTCAGTATTGAACAGAGGCCCACTGTCCTTTAGCATAGCTTTCTGGATGCTGTACACATGGATGCTGGCAGTCACAGCTAGCTTGGACTTCACTGCTACAAGTCAACAGGAAAAGCAGTCTGTTAATATACAAATTTCATAGCATGTGGGGACTTTAACAAGAAACCCTTCTACATTAAAACCATTTTTAATCTGTGGTGATCCAGAAAACCATAAAAGGCTCAAACAGCCACATATACAGTATAACATCAACTCTTCTGTCCGCAATGGGAACATTATGACAAGGTAGGTGGTAGTGAGTCATTTCTAAGTATAACACCTGTGAGGGTATCACTCATCCTGTGGACACTCAGCAAATATTAATGAATGATTGATGATGACTACGATGACTGCCTCCAGATGCCCAGTCAGGGAAGAACCTTGCACTAAAGCATAAAGAGTACTAAGTAATATATATCTGAGAGGATTCAATTATATATCCCAATTTTAGTTTATAGAAAGCAACTATATAAAAATTACTACTAACTAGACAATTCTACAGAGGAAAAACAAAAGAACATCACAAGGACAAATTTGAGATTCTACAACGAGAGAATGTGCCTAACTTGTTTCATCTCTCTAGTGCCTAGTACAAAGCCCAGCATGTAATAGATAATCTATAAAATACAGAAATCTTGCCTCACCTACCATTGTAGGGACAACTGCCTACCAAATTCAGAAAGTCGATATTCTTACCACCTTGAACATTTCAAAACTAATTTGGTAAGAACCCTCTACCCCACTGGAAGGAGCCTATATATACAAAGTAGAGTAGTAAGTTTTGTCTTGAGACAGATCCAAGATCATGCAGACCTTGTTATGAAAAATTTTTGAATTGGGTTTTTAAACAATAGAATAGCAGCACTAACAGTCTTGAAACAGTTGGACTTATTTATGTCTTTTTTAAAAAAAAAAAATTCTGTAGTTTTCTTTTTTAAAAAAAACTGTTATGAAACACAACACAATATTGAAAGGGTACTGTTTTTACTGTTGATGAGATGCCCCATATGGTATTCATGATAGTTCTTTGCATGTCTGTCACGAGTTTTAAAATCTGGTGACAAAAGTGCTTTATAAATGTCAGCAGCTATTGGCTTTAAAAACGGGAAGTTAGGCAGATATAGTATCATATTTTAATGTTTCTGAAACCACTAATAAAAGAAATAGAAGGTTCTTCAGCTAAATAGCTAAAATATCATATGCAGATGTTAGGGGCAAACTTTTAATTGTATCTACATTGCTGCCATAAGAAGAGAAAGGAAAAACTTGCTAAACCACTAAAATGCTTACCTTCTAATTTATCTTCTCTCACTACTGCAACCTTGTGGCACTGTAAAGAATAACATTTCATTAGTGTTAAAAATAGTAGAACTTGAAATTTTAGTTTCCTTGTCAATAATTCAATTGTGCTTGGATGTGAGTTAGGAAAACATTACATATTCCTAAAATATTTGTTCTATTTTAATAAAGTCAGATTCATTTTTAATTTTTTTACTTCAGAGCTTCTCAGTAAGGTTAAGGAAAACAAGAGTACAGATACTGTGACAATTAATCCTTACTATCAACTTAATTGGCTTGAGAGACATCCAGGAGGTTAGTAAAGCACACTTCTGAGTGTGTCTGGGTAGGTCATGGGGGTGTGACCTTGAGGACTGTATCTGATCCCTGGCCCCTTCCAGAGGGGGCTCTTGAATGCAATGAAGTTAGCAGCTTTCCTCCATTTATGCCCTTCTGCTGTGACTGCTTTTGCCTTGGAATCAACTGACTGCAGACTAAAACCTGAAACCGTGAGCCAAAATAAACGTCTACTCCTTTTAAGTTGTGGGTGTCAGTATTTTGCCCTAGCAAAAGAAAGGTGGCTAATATAGATATCAATTCTACAATAAAATAAAGCATTTCAAATCAGTAAGGATAGAAGAATGTTAAATAAGTGATTTAATGAGAATTACTGTATAACCATACAGAAGCGGGTAAAAACTAGATCTGCCCCCCATTTCATATACCAGAATAAATTCTAAATGGGCGTGAGATTTCAATGTAAAACAATGAAGACATATATGCAATGGGGGGAAAAAAAACCAGGTGAACTCCTCTGTAATCTAGTATAATCTAAAAATGGAAAAAAGCTTCCTAATATAATTCAAAATCCAGAAGTAACTGAAATAATCTGTAAAAGTTAACTTTTGGACAAAAACAAAAACTTTTAAGTAAAAGAGAAAACAATTTAGAACTTATATCACAAAAGGTTAATAAAGCTTCTAAAAATAAAACATTAATTAAAAAACCACTAATATCTTTAGAAAAATGGTCAAGAGATATAAACAGACACAATTCACAGGAAGAGGAATGCAAAGAGCCCTAAAACACATGAGAACATGTGCTGTGTGGAAACTCACATATTGTTAGTGAGAATAAAAAAAAAGAGAGGAACTTGGCCATACTAACAAAAGTACATAAACATTTATCCTTTGACCTAGCAATTCTATTTCTGGGAATGTAAACTTAAAACACTCTAAAACGCACTAGCAAAGACATATATATAAAACCCAGATATACACTGAGCTATTGACTGCAGTACTATCTGTAACAGCCAAAGATTATAAACAACATTAAAAATGGACTGCTGATTCGACTGAAGTATATCAATGGAGCCCTATGTGGCTATAATAAGGGCAAATAGTTCTTTAACTGCTATGAAGTAATGCTCAAGATTTATAAATGGGCAAAAAAATAAAAAACAAAGTACAAAATAGTTTGTATAGTATAAAAACTTATCTAAGAAAGAAGAGCAATATAAATACATAATTGCTTATATCGAAAACATACAAGAACAACAAAAACAATGGAAGGGAAAGGCAAAACCAATAATACTACTTGGAGCTACCTATAAAAGAAAGAAAAGAACCTACCCACTGAAACCAAAATGGAAAAAAAAAATTGAGTTTAACTAGTTACTAAATTGGAGTATTAATTATAATGAGAAATTGTTTTGAGTAATTATAAAACACAAGCTATTCTATGTTTAAGCAGGACATATCCTACAGCCAAAGAACTAATTTAACTAGTTACTAAATTGGTGGGTTAGTTATAATGAGAAATTATTTTGAGTTATTATAAAACATTGAAAGCAAAATGGAAAAAAATTGAGTTTACTAGTTGCTAAATTGGTGGATTAATTATGAGAAATTGTTTTGAGTAATTATGAAACATTGAAACCAAAATGGAAAAAAATTGAGTTTAACTAGTTACTAAATAGTTTTTTTAGTACCGGGGATTGAACTCGGGACCTTGCACTTGGGAGGCAGGTGGTGGAACCACTGAGCTAAATCCCCGGCCCTTGTTATTTTTTTGTACCGGGGATTGAACCCGGGACCTTGCACTTGCAAAGCAGGTGGTAGAACCACTGAGCTAAATCCAGGGCCCTCTAGTTACTAAATTGGTGGATTAATTATAATGAGAAATTGTTTTGAGTAATTATAAAACACAAGCTATTCTATGTTTTAGCAGGACATATCCTACAGTCAAAGAACTGTAGTCTTAAAACTCTTTTCAGTAATCATATTACTAGTAATAATAGTGTTTTGTTTTTCTAAACCTCATATATTTGATTAAAGTAAATACATATTTATGTTAATGTTAGGAACTACCAAAATTCATAACATGAAAGAGTAATATAAAAATAAAGCAACTTTTTCTTCTTTTGGCTGTGCTGAGGACTGAAGCCAGAGCTTCGAGTATGGTAGGCAAGTGTTCTACCATTGAGGTATATTTCCAGCCTAAAGGTTTTTTTTTTCAAATGTAATCAGAAATTTGAATGGGTCTATCAATAAACTTTCATGTGTTTTCTTTTAAAAATAAAACAGACATTCCCAAAAAATGTTATGTTCTACAAAATACACACTAAAAATTAGTTGATGAGAAAAAAGAGCATTAGGAACTAACCATTCAAAAACTCCACAGATTTATATGTAGTGAGAGCCCTAGGACCTGTAATTCATAACTAAAGAAAATCTGCAGAACTAGGCAGTTCTGTGCGGCTGCTTCCTTGGGACATTGAAAATGCATGTAAACAACAGAGGGTAAGTGTCAGCCTGCTAGTGTGAAACAGTGCAAACCAGAGTGGAGCTCAAATTCAGAGGATTCCTGTCAGGGTGAACACAAGTAAGTTCAGCACCCACAAACCTAAAATTTGGCAAGAGGAAAGGTTTTACTTAATGTATTTCATATATTAGGATTTGGATTAAGATTTTGTTTAAAAAAGACGATCAGAATTTAAATGTCTTTTTAAGTTTAGCAATGGAAAGCCCTATATCAGCAAGGCACGCCATACACGTTTTCAACTTCTGTTATAGTTTGGATCTTAAAATGTCCCCCAGTCCAGGAGTGGCCATGCATGCCTATAATCCCAGCACTGAGACAGGAAGATCACTGCAAGTTCAGTGCCAGCCTGGGCTACACAGTGAGTCCAAGACCAGCCTGAATTGAAAAACATAGCAAGACCCTGTCAAAAACAAAAAACAGAGTTCGATACCCGGTACAAAACAAAAACCAAAACAAAATGAAAAACATATCCCTCAAAGCTCCCTGTGTTAAGGCGTGGAACATACTGTGAGATGGTGGAAACTTCAAGAGGTAGGACCTAGTAGTTGTAGATCACTGGGGATTGTTACTGAGGCAGACTGCTGAACACTAATCTCTTTCTCTCTTTCCCTTCCAGCAAGAGATGACAGTTTCCTTTCCCATGTGCTCCTACCATAATGTGCTGCTTCACCACAGGACCAAAAGCTAAGAGGCCAACCAAACATGGACTGAAATCTCTGAAACCATGGGCCAAAGTAAATCTTTCCTCTTTTTTAAGGTGATTATCATAGATATTTTGTTACAGTAATGGAAATCTAACAACTTTTATAAGTTTTTAACTGATTATAGGTTACATATCATCTTGAAAAAAATTCTCTCAGAAAAATGCACTAAGGAAGACAAACTGAATGCACTTTCAGGATTTCATCTAAGAATCTCTAAGAGCCCTAAAGATCAACTATAAAGACCACCTAAAGTTCCCAGATTAAAAGCCCCTGTCATAATGAGTTACAGTAAAAATCTACAACTTAAATAATTTCCTTTTTCTGGCTCCCTCCTAAAAGTAAGCCATACTTTCCGTTTTCAGCTTCCTCAAACCTATCTGAAAATTGCTTTGCCTCAACCACCACAAGCCCTATGGGACCTGGCCCAAGGACGAGGGTCCCTTCTCAGAGATCTGCTAATGTTTTCCCTTTCCCTTTTGACTTTGCCTCAAAATCCTAGGTTTTGAATCCTGATTTGTCCAAATATTGACTGGATTTGTTTTTTAGCAGTAGATTTCTAGCATGTGAGATTTAAAACTGGAATGTTAATTTAGTGATTTAAAAGGAAAAGTAAAACTGCTGGAGCAATCAGTTCCTCATATTCTCTAGCCAGCATTTTCTTTCCCTATTGGCAAGCCATTTAGCAAGCCAAATGATAATCAAGATATTTTCAAGTATAGAATCAGATCTCATTATTATCTAAGACAGGGAATTAAGCAGACTTGATTCATTTATTCTCGGAGATAAACCTGCCACCAGAATTCTCTCCCCTGTATGGTTCTAAAATGGATACTGTCAAAGTTTGCAGCTACATATCATGTTTTCTGTTTCTAGATTTAATCTCCTTGTCTCTTTTTAGTTTCCTTAATAATTAAATTCTTGGGCCGAGGATTTAGCTCAGTGGTTTCACCACCTGCTGCACAAGCGCAAGGACCTGAGTTCAATCCCAGATACTAAAAAAAAAAAATTAAATTCTTAACTTTAGATCCTAGTTCAGAAGATCTGCAAACTCTCAAAATTTTATATCAATTATGCATTTCTCTTCAGATTCTCAAAGGGATCAGTGACAAAAAAAAACAAAACTCCAGATTGAGCAATCCAAAATGCTTTAAACTCTGAAATTTCTTGAGCATGAATATGTCAAAAGAAGTAAGTTCTGAGCCTGTTGTGATAGCACATTCCTGTATTCCCAGCTCTCTAGGAGGCTGAAACAGGAGGACCTGAATTTGAGTCTGGCTTGGGCAACTTCTTGAGATCTTGCCTCAAAATAAAACAAAAATTTACAAAGGGCTGGATGTAGATCAGTGCAAAGGCCCGGGGTTAAATCTCCGATACAAAAAAAAAAGTGGTTAATTCTAAACCATTAAACTTGATTTCATGCAGAAAATTATTAAAAATATTGTACAAGACTACCTTCTGGCCATGTAAGATGTATTTGAAACTTAAATGATTTCATATTTACACTTGGTTCCCAATCCTAAGATACCTTATTATGTTTATATAAACATTCCCAAACCCCCCAAAATCCAAAAATCTCAAAACATGTCTGTCCCAAGCATTTCAGATAAGGGATATTTAATCTATACTTTAAAGGAATATGATTCCCAAGTAAAGATTTGACTGTAACTAGCTTTTTCTTTTCTTGAACATCTGAGTTATGGCTTGAAATTTGAACAGGATCAAAATTAACTACAACTGCCCCCAGTATACCTTCAAGATTATAGAAAACAATACAAATAATTTTCTAATATCCTGTTGCCCAGAAAATTGCATAATAATGATACAGTCTCTGCATCACAGCAAAAATATTACCCAAACTTTCCTGAGTTTTAGATTCAGTCTAAAATTCCAAAATACTCATCTTTTTCCATTAGTATTTTAAAACTTCTGTAATACTGAACGTTTTTTCTTTTCCCATGTTAGGTTATAACACTGTTCATAGTTCAAAGCCATCTAAGCTCACTGTAAGATTCTGAAAACATGAGCTGGGCACAGTGGTGCACATCTGTAATCCCAGCACTAGGGAGGCTGAGGCAGGAAGACTGCTTCAAATTCAAGGCCAGCCCGAGCTACATAGTGAGTTCAAGGCCAGCCTAAACTATATAGAGCTTGTATCAAAAAAACCAAACAAAAGCACCAAAAAGATTCTGAAAACTTACAGAATGTCCATTCTGAATGAAACTGCCAGACACCAAATAGGTGACATGCAGTTGGGCTCCTGAATTCTCCTTCCGTTTCCTTTCAACATAATCATACAGCATCCTGTTTGAAAGGCAAAAGCAATTCATTAGCAAGAGTTTTTATTTCATCAACTCTTAAATTATGGCTTAAAAGTTAGATATAAAAATCTAATAGTAAGAACCAAGAGAGATTATGTAAAGGTGCAAATTTCCAATGATGAATGTCATTATATTGTATACCTAAACTGTACCAATAAAATTAATAAAAAATGAATTAATACAAAAAAAACTAATAGTGCATCATAAACAGAAGAATCTTTACTCAGTCTATGGTCAGAATGCTTTTTAAAGGACAGGCATTAGATTGGACAGGGAGATTGGAATCAACTGTCTGACATGCACAGTGACACAGCAAGTAACTGAAATCTAATAATAGGCCAAAGGGACAGAACTTACATTAAAATAGTGGCAGGGCTGGGGATTTAGCTCAGTGGTTATACCACCTGCCTCACAAGCGCAAGGACCTGAGTTCGATCCCTGGTACCAAAAAAAAAATAGTGGCAATAATATATAAAGGATAAAACAATCAAGAATACGTTTTGTCACTAGCTAGCTATGTGACCTGAGGTAAGTTATTTTTTTCTACATGAGAGATAAAACTAGATTAGTGATTTTCTTAACCTGAGATTCTTATGGCTTTCTACAACCCTCTACCAATCCTCCAAAATCAGAAATTATACACATGTATTTTTTTTTTTTTGTACCAGGGATTGAACTCGGGACCTTGTGCTTGCAAGGCCGGCAGCGGAACCACTGAGCTAAATCCCCAGCCCACATACATGTGTTTTTTGTGGGGAAGACAATTCAAGGTTTTCAAGAGATTCTGAAAGAATTCATTATTCTAAAACATTAAACACTATTATATACATGATCACAAATCTCTACCTCTGAAATTCTAATTTTATGATTATCCAGATTTGATAATGTTTCATAACTGCAGAATGCAATGGTTTACTTATACTACCCAATATGTATCCAGAATAGTCATTAACCTGAGAGAGCCAAATACTAAATGCAGAAATAATGTTGCTTTTAGTAAGAGCCTTAAATTCATTTTAATCTCCAGCATCCAGCAAAATATCAGAAGTTGACCTCTTCAATAATTTAGTTTAAGAACATCAAAGAGACATATCATTTGTGTCTTTTATTTCAAGAAACATTTATTGAGCTTCTATGACATAATGTGCTTCTGCCAAGGATAGGCAAAAACTCAAAAATTCCAGGAGAAACTCAACTCACATTGTTGTTCATTTTTTTTTGAAGGGTCCCTTCTTAGCTTCTATAAAATCATGCTCCACTAAGATTCTTGCCACCTTCCAGCTACCTCTGCTCTATTTCCTGCACAGACTTCTTCACTTCCTCCCTCTTCTAACTGCAGGTATTGGGAAGGGAAACCAGCCCAGTTTGCCTGGGTCTGAGGGGTTTCCTGGGACATGGGATGTTCATCATCCTGCTAGTCTCCTTGCTCTATTTCAGTGATGGCAATCAAACCTTTTACAGACCGAATGCCAAACTGCAACCCTAAACCCACTTTTCACAAAGTGCCAATACTGCCATTAAACCTGAACACTGAGGTTTTAATTTAGAAAAAAGAACTCTACATTAACATCCTTTGTCTTAAAAGAAAAACCCAATAACACGTGTCCCACAGGTTCATCTCCTTGGGTATACTTTATCCATCCCTATAGCTTACTCTATCCCTGATAACATCATCATTTGCTCAAGACAAAAATCTGGGAGTCATTACTCTTCCCTTCTTCTTATCAGTAGACTGCCAAGTCTCATCAGCTCTCCCTCCGAAGTAATTCTTGACTCCATGCCCTCCAAATCTCTTGAGTAGATTATTTCAATTCCATGTGTCAACCGCACCCCTCCCCCGACCTTCATTATCTGTGATGCTGCCAGTTGTAATTTATGTTCTATGTCTTGGGGACAGAGCAGTAAACAAAGCAGTCAAAGTCCCTGCCCTTTTAGAGCTTACATTCTAGGAAAAAGACAATTTAAAAAAATGAATACATAATATCAGATGGTACTTAAGTCTGTGTGGGAAAATCAATTAAAATAAGACAGAGAATGGGTGCAAAGTTTTGTAATTTTACATAAGGTGATTAGGGAAGGCCTCCTGACCACAGCTTGGAGGGAAGTGAGGAAACCACCAATGTGGATCTCTTGGAAAGACTGGTTCAAGCAGAGACAATACGAAACACAAAGGTCCTGAGAAAAGAATGTCAACAAGATCTAAGGAACAGAAAGGACAGCAGTGCGTTGAAGCAAAATAATGGAGAGTAGCAGAACAGAAGCTAAGGCTTCTTCAAGGCTTTGTGGACTCCAAAAGGACTCTCAAGAAAGGACGCCATCATTTTGGAGCAGAAGTAATGTGATCTCACTTTTAGAAGGATGCCTGATTGCTAAGAATATACTGTAAAGCAAGATAATAAGCAAGGAGACAAGCTAGAAGGCTACCCAGTAATTTATGCTAGAGATGATGGTGTCTTTGATTAGGGCAGTAGCAGAGGAGGTAATAATAAGTGGATAAATTCTGGGTATATTTTACAGAGAGAATCAATAGGATTTGCTGATGGATTGACTGTGATGTGTGAGGGAAAAAGGAGCCAGGAATGACTGGATTAAACAAACTCGAAAAATGAAGCTGTTGCTGGGTGCAGTGGTGCACATCTGTAATCCCAGCTGCTCAGGGAGGCTGAGGCAAGAGGATCAGAAGTTTGAAGTCAGGCTGGCCAACTTAGCAATAGCTTGTCTCAAAATGGAAACAGAAAAGGACTGGGGACATAGCTCAGAGCTCCCTCAAGGAAAAAAAGTGGTAATGCTGTCATTTACTGAGATGGAAAAACAAGTTAGGTTTTAGAACATGCTACATTTGAGATGCCTAGTCACCATTATAATGTTGACAAGGTAGTTGGCTCTTCTTAAATATTACTCTCTGTTCCAAAGTTTTCAGTAGCTCTCCATCTCCTAAGGACCAACTTCAAATTCCTAGCAATTACATGTAAGACCCTTCTTGCTTTGGCTCTGTATCTGGGTATCTTTCACTATACCGCTACACCCACCCTATTTCCAGCCTTATGAATCAGCAAGTGCCTGGGCCTTCTAAGTTCTAACAGAGATCACCCTATATCTATTATTATGGCACTTCCATACTGTGTCCCAACTACTTCATTTATTTATCTTTATATATCTGCCATCACCACTGGACTATCAGCTCCTTGAGCACAAAAATGTGCCCTATTTAGTTTTTTGGTTTTGTTTTGTTTTGAGGTACTGGAAATTGAACCCAGGCACTTACGTATGGTAGGCAAGTACTCTACCACTGAGCTACATCCCCAACTTTATTCAACGTATTTTTTGTTCTTCCAATTTTCCCTCATCTCACTCATCCTTCCATTATAGCAATTGTGTTACAAGAACAGATAAGATAAAGTCATGACCCTTTATTTTGTTAGTCGGGATCATACTACTAGAAAATATAAGTAGGTACCATGCCCAAGATGCTCTCAAGCTTGCTGGCCAAATGCACTTCCATACATAGCTCATAATCCTGCCTCCATCGTAGGTGCTGTCTTCTATACACTTGTCTCCCCAAGTCAACTCCAGTTCTTCTCTTACATTATTCATTTTTCAACATTTTTTTCTTGTTTATTCCCTTCTTAAGAATTTTTAACAAATACAAAGCCATAAGGTTGCACATATTAATGAGCACCACATTAAATGTATACATTACATAATGTTTAAATCAGATTAAACATTTATCGCTTCAGATATTTACCAATTCTTTGTGGTGAAAACTTTAAAAATTTTTCCTTCTAGCTTTTTAAATGTACAGTAATTATCTATTAGTCAACCATACTATGCAAGAGTATCCCAGAGCTTCTTGCTCTTATCTAACTTAGTATCCTTGATCAAACTTTCCCCATTCCCCTGACAACTATCCCTGGCCTCTAGTGACCACCACTCTACTGTTTTTCCTCTTTTTTGACGTATTTTTCTTTTATATAACAAGAACTTCAAAGCAAGTATTTTTGAAAAGAATTTCTGCATACTTTTCTGCATCTAATACATGCTTATCTAAGTCAAACATTTTACCTTAACCAACAAAATATGGAAAGCATTCTTAAATATGAATGACAACATATATGATTTCCTTCAAGATACACTTGCTACACTTCCAGTTTTAGTTCATTGATTTTCCCCCTTGGTCAGTTCCATCATAATTCTCCACAGGAAGAGTACAGTATACATGGGCCGGGGATTTGGCTCAGGGGCATAGCACCTGCTTGGCAAGCGCGAGGTCCCGAGTTCAATCCTCCGTACCAAAAAAAAAAAAAAAAGTACAGTATACAGTCCATACTGCCTTTCCTAACCCAATTTTATTTCTCCATAGGATTTTCGCAACCTAAAATTAAACCGATGAGGGGAAGGAACTTGTCTATCAAAGACAGAGCTCAAATAATGCTGAAAATATAGTAACAACTGAAAAAACACTTCTTTAATATATCCAAGCAGATCAGTAATACCACATAGTCACTGTGCTTAGTGCCAAGAGTGATAAATATTTATACTAATAAAGAAAAAAGGGTGCATGATAGCTAGGGGTGTAGCTCAGTGACAGAACACTTGCCTAGCATGCACGAATCCCTTGGTGTAATCCCCAGCACTACAGAGGGAAAAAAGAAGATGTAAAAGAATTTCTAAGTTTATCAAAATATCCATCATAGTGCTTAGTGTTCATTCAACAAATATTTATTCGCACTTCTTCGCACTGAAGATACAATGATTGCGACATCCTATATTTTCCAAACATGGCTGAAACAGTACCTTCCACTGAGAAGTAGAATACAGCCCTACACCCTGAATCTGGGAGGGCTAGTAACTCACTGGTTAACTCTGAGGCTAGTCAAAAAAGGTGCCTGGCTTTTACCATGTGCTGGAGTACAAGCTGTAGAAGCCTTGAGATGCTATATGAGAAACATGCTGAATACCTGGAGACATCATGCTGTAAGGAAGCCTGGGCCATACAGACAGACCACATAAAGTACTCTGGTCAACAGTCCTAGCTAAAATCTCAGCTGACGGCCAGCATCCACTACAGATATGTGCCTTTATAGATGACTGGGCTCCAAACATTGAGACTTCCCACCTAAGGTGCTAGACATCATAGAACTGACATAAACCATTCCCACTGTGCCCTGTCCAAATTCCAGACCAAAAAATCTATAAGCACAATAAAATGGTTGTCGTTAGCCACTAAATTTTGAGATGATTTGTCACACAGCAATAGTAATTAGAACAGTGATGAACTTTTGCAACAAAACTCCTGCCCTTATAGAGCTTCTATTCTAGTGGAGAAGACATGCATAACAAGCAAGAAAATGTCAGACAGTAAGAATTATGAAGTTGTGGGACAACTGGATACTCACTATTAGGGATTAGATCTAAAATGTCCCCCAAAAGTCTCATGTGTTCAGAGGTGGGACCTAGAGAGGTAATTGAATGATGAAGGCACTAATTTCATCAATGAGTTAATCTACTGATGAGTTCTTAGCTGAATGGGTTATTGGAGGAAGTACCTTACTGAGGGTGTGCCTCTGAAGGACATATCCTGTCCCCAACCACCCTCTCTCTCTGTGGCTCTTCCTTGCTCCCTCTGCTTACTGGCTGCCACAAAATGAGCATCTTTCCTCCAGCATGCTGTTTCTACCTTGGAGCCAGCCAACTATGGACTGAAGTACCTGATGAACTAAAATAAATCTTTTCTCCTTTAAGTTGTGTATGTCGGGTATTTTGGTCACAGTGATGAAAAAGTGACTAATATACCCACAAATACAAAAATGAAGTTGGATCCTTTCTTTACCCTGTGTACAAAATATTCCAAATAATTCCTAGAAGACAATCATATTTATGTATTTTAGCATTTCATTTAAAAATCTAATCAGAAAGTTTTAGTGTATTCTTTTTTCTCCCTTGGTTTTTTGTGACATGATCTTGCAACATAGTCTAGCTGGTCTTGAACTCACAATCTTCATGCCTTAGCCTCCTGAGTGCAGGATTTACCTGCATGCACCACCACACCCAGCTTGTGTATTCTTACTGTAAGGAATGAAGTATTTTTTTAGGTTAACAAGCACATGCTCTGTAGAAGACTTAAATACAGTGATAATTAGCAATGATTTATAAAATTAACAACAAATAGATCATACAATATAAAAGAATAAATGTAAGAAAAAATATGTACAACTCTTAGAAGAAAATAGGAATAAATCTTCATGACCTTGGGTTAATTAGGCAAAACCTTCTTAGATACTACATAAAAAGCACAAGCAACAGCCAGGCATGGTGGTGTATGCCTGTAATCCCAGAGGCTGAGGCAGGAGGATTGCCATGAGTTTGAGGGCAGCCTGGGCTACATAGTGAGTTCAAGGCCAGCCTAGAATATACAGTGAGACTCTGTCTCAAAAAACCAAAGAGGGCCAGGGATTTAGCTCAGTGGCACCACGCCTACCTCACAAGCACAAGGTCCTGAGTTCAATCCTGGGGGAAGGGGGAGGGGGGCAACAAAAGAAAAATAAACAGGACTTAGTCAACAATAAAAATGTCTGTGCTTCAAAGAACACCATAAAGAAAGTGCAACAAGTTGCCTGACAAAGAATTCAAAAGAATGATTTTAAGGGAAAAAATATAGAAAGAAGGTCTAAACACAGTTGGGTGTGGTGGCACACACTTGTAATCTCCTCCCCCAAAAAAGGAAGAAAGGAAAGAAGGGAGGGAGGAAGGAAAATATGGTGCAAAATCTACAGAATGGGAGAAAGTTTTTACAAATCATCTACCTGATCAGGGTCTTATATCCAGAATATATAAAGAACTCTTAAAACTCAACAGTAAAGACAATTCAACAAGAAAAAAAAGGACAATTTTTTGATAAATATTCCTCCAAAGACAAATGGTTAATAAACACATGAAAAGATAATTAATATTTTTAGGGAAATGCAATCAAAACTATTTCTCATCTACTCTGAAGGTTAAATAAAGATGAAATAAAAAACGTTGGGAAGAATGTGGAGAAATTAGAATCCTCATATGTTGGTGAGATTAAGATGACGCAGTCACTCTGAAAACTAGTCTGTCAGTTCCTCAAAATGTTAAACACAAGAGTTATCATATAAACCAGCAATTCCAATCCTAGCTATTACATACAAGAGAAATAAAAACATGTTCATACAAACATCTGTACACAAATGTTCATAATAGTCAAAATGTTCAAAATAGTCAAAATGTGGAAACAATCCAAATGATCATCAATAAATGAACAGATAAAATTTGGTATACCCACGTAATGGGCTAGCTGCGTCTGAAAAAAGATATGTTGAATTATGTCTGAAAAAAAATATGTTGAAACACTCACCAATACCTTAAGATGCAACCTTATTTAAAAACAAGGTTATTGCAGATTTAATTAGTTAAGACAAGATCATACTGTACTGGTAAGGTGGGCTTTTAATCCAGTATGAATGGAGTCTTTACAAGAAAATAGCTATCTGAAAATACAGACACACAAGAATACAGGATTACAATACTATGTGACAACAAAGGCAGAACCTGGAGTTATACAGCTACAAGGCAAGAAATGCTAAAGAATGCTAGCAAACTACCAGAGGGTGGACAAAAATAAGGAAGGTCTCTTTCTCCTAGGTTTCAGAGGATGCATGGCCCTGTCAACCCCTTGAATTTGGCCTTCTAGCCCCCAAAACTCTTCAAGTCATCCTGTTTGTATTTATGGCAGCCACAGGAGGAGGAAACTAATACACCGTATAATGAAATACTATTGAGACATAAAAAGGAATTAAATACTGAAGCATGCTACCACTTGGATAAACCTTGATAACATAGTGAAAGAAAACAGATATGCAAGACTATTATATGATTCTGGTTATATGAAATGTCCAGAAAGGACAAATCCATAGACAGAAAGACTAGTAGTTATCTAGGGCTGGGGGTGGGGTGGGTGAAAGCTGGGGGAAATGGTGAGTGTTAATGGGTATGATTTCTTTGTGGGGTGACAAAAATATTGCAAAATTAATTGTAATAGTTGCACAACTCTGAATATATTAACAACCATTAAACTGTACACTTTACAATGGGTGAACTATATGGTATGCAAATTATATCTCAATAAATCTATTTTTTTTAATTATGAAAGAAATTAACAGAATGCTATGCTAAGAGTTGGAGGGTATGGTGATATGTGAATAGCAGATTAGGGAAGGCTTGTTACAACATGTGAAATTTGAGCTAAAACTTGAAGGATGAGGAAAACCAGGAGAAGCAGCAGTTCAGGCAGAGGAAACAGCACAAAGGTCCCAGGGTGAGAATGAGTTTGTGAATAACAACAGATATGTAGAGAGTATAATAAATGAGGTGGAGAGCAGTATGGGATGAAAGCAGGAACCAGACAGCATGTTAATGCCATAAAAATGTTATATAACCAGGTTAACTACAGTAAAAGTACAGGCATCTTCAGTTCATCTTCAGGGAATGCCAGTCCTTGATCTGAATGTTTTAAACTCCAATAAGTGTATACAGTAAGAGTTGTTTCATTTCATATTTAAATATCCATACCCACAATGAACAATAATTTTCACAGATGTCTGTTCTCAAAGTTATTGAAACTCTTGGGCTGGGCCAGGACTGGTCTTGGGCAATCCCAGTCAAAACTAAATCCAACACCACCACCACCACCACCACCACCACCCCGCCCCCCCGCAAAACTAAATCCATCCCCGGGTTACCAAATCTATCCCCAGGCTAACTCTTTCAGGTCTTGAAAGCTTAAACTTCACAGCCAAGTCAGTCTCCTAGATTTGTCCAACATTAACCCACACAAAGCCAAATCAACCTCTTTTAGAGATAAGAGACTTTCTAATATTCAGTGGAATGTTCTTATGGGTACTCTTTCTTCCTCTCAAGGAATAGACAAAAATCAGACCATTCTTAGGAAACAAAACAAATTAAATGTGCATTTAACTCAATTTATGTGCACTCAACTGGTTCATCAATTCCTTTGTGACAGGCAATATTTGCACCTTTACAGGTCAAAAAATCTAAAGTTCATTCAAAAGCCTTTCCCTCTTGGCTTCAAGTTTGACCACCAGTTTCAGAAAGGAAAAGTGATACTGTAAAATCACAGGCAGTGTTCTTCACCACCCTAAACAGTCTCTTTTTAGCTTCACTTAAATAGTTACACTGTTACACTGTCATACAGCTTGTGTCAAACACCTGTTGACCTCATTCTGGAAGTATTTTAGTAACACCCAAAGATAGGCCTAAGAAGCACACCTGAAAATGCAGTGAAGATGTAAGATAACAAAACATATAAATCTGAGCTATAAACCGAATTTGCTAGCCCATTTAATAAATTTGGAAATGACAAAGTGATGTTAACCAGAAGCCAAGGATGCAGATGTATCCAGTAAACTATCACCACACATTTGTATATAGGTCTACTAAACTAAAAAGACACAAAGGTAGTAAATATAGTATTCTCTCCTATTTACTCAGAAAAAAAATCAGTTCTAATGTAGTAGCTATGTATACAGTACTTTAAAACAAAGCAAAATAAAACAAAAAATTTCAATGTCATTAAAATTGGAAGGAAGTTAGACTTACTGTTTGGCCTGGTTAACATGAACCCCTAGTGTATAGCTCAGCCACTTGTATGTTACCTGCAAGGAGAAGCATTTTTAAAAATGTTTTATTAAATGACAGTGGATCAGTCCCAAGACCCACTCCTAAAGATTCCTATTCTTAGAAGATTATGTTTTATAAATCATAATAGATGCCACTGCAATTTAGAACCATCTCTATCTGGGCAGGTAGAACCAAGATGCTTATCTTACAAATACCTAGAAGTTTGCTTCACGGACTGACTAATGCAAAAGTATCTAAAAATGCAGGCTGACTATATATAAAGAAAAACTCATTTTCCTCATACTCCTTATTTTATTTATACTTTTTCTTCACTGTCTCTGAAGGGACCACAACCAAAAACTATCCTAAAATTCACTCAAAAGCTCGATCACTTTTCAGTATGTGACTCAGAAACTTCTCTAAGAAAAACTGCAGCCATACAAACGTTAACGGTCACAGGTGGTGCAGATATCAGCAAATGAATGAAGTGGATGAATCTTTTATCAGGGATTAGACTGGGACCTACTGCAATCAATCTTTCATGCTTCCTTGACCCAGAATACCTGTTCTCTCAAGTCTCTTCAATTCTAACGTCTAACTTTCCAACAGTCCAACACTAATAAAGGCTACACAAAGACAGTGTAGTGTCAGTGGAAGAGACAGGTCCAAGTCGGGAACTACCTATCCCTTGCTAACCTAAATGAACAAGTTATTTGGACCCTCTGCTTCAACTTCCTCTTCCAGGGATACTACCACCGACCTGGGGGTGGGAAAGGGTGCTCACAGTAAAGTCTAAATACAATGTGTATCCAAAGTGTCTTGGCTTACAGTTGGCAGTCAGCCATCACGGTTTTGCAAAATGCGTCCGCAGCCACAACCTCACGTGATCTTTATACCAAAGGCAGGTTCAGCATCTATTTAAATTTCCAGGAAGAGGAAGTTGACTGCCTGCAGGTTAAATAACTTGCCGCTTAACCTTGATAAGATATAATTTCCTCAACTGTAAACTGGGACTTTAGACGCCAATCACCTGATAAAAGACAGGTGTTAGGTCGCCTTACAAATACCCTTAACTAACGACCCTCCCTCTGCGCTGATCTCCGAGGCCCCCGTCGGATGCAGAGTTCCTAACACTTTCAGCCAAGGCTTAATGCAAGCACAGGATGACCTCTCCAGCGAATCCTAGCTCGACCTGGGGCACTACAAGTGGTGGCAAATACCCCCTCCGCCAGGGTCACGAGGCCACAAGCACTAGGGTCAAGGCTCGCAGTGCCCTGGCCCGGCCCAGGATCCTAGTCGCACGCCCATTTTCCCCGGTCCTAGCTCCTCACGATCTTGTTCTGGTCCGTGACGAACTCGTCTATATTTTCCAGATAAAGCTGGTCTGCCATGGTGCTGTAGTGACGAGCACCGTCAGCCCTGAAACTAGAGCTCCCGCCGGCGGGAAACGACTTCACTCCCTCCCAGATCCCGGGTCGTTTCCCACGGCAACGGAGGCGTCGCGATACGGAGGCTCCAGAGGATCAAACTAGTCTCGCGAACGTCGCAGGCCTGAGTAGGTGGAACTAGTAGGAGCAAACCGGAAATGAAGGGCTAGGAAAGCAAGCCTGGACCCAGAAGTCTGTGTATGAAGTCAAGGCTTCCACATCTCACCTCTGGTGTTTGAAGACAGACCCAGGACCAAATACTTCACCTGTAGCAGCCACAGTCTTTCCACTTGTAAATTGATAAAATAATCTTTGTTGGTTGGGTGTGTAGATAAGCGGTACAATGCTTGCCTAGCGTGCACTACCTACGGTTCAGTCCTCAGCACCAGATTTGATACCTTTGTCACTATTTGATACCTTTGTCAACAAAAGTTATTAAACTACAAATTCTATTACAGGCACTTCTTTTTTTATTAGTTAAATTCTTTTATTGGTACATTTTAGGTATACAACACATTTACATTTCTCATTGGGAACTTGTACCTTGACATGATGCATGTTGGTTCTTATTTTTTCCCCATTCCAAGCCCTCCCTTCACGCCCTCCACCCTTCCCTATTTACAGAGACTTTATTTCCACTTTTTCCATTTTTCAGCATTTTTCCTTTCCCTTCTTTCCTTTCTCCTGCCCCTCCCACTGCCCCTACCCCTTTGGACCTTTTCTTCCTATTTTACATTATC